GGAGCCCACCAGAGGACAGGTGACTCTGGATTCAATATTGTGTGGTACTCAGGACCTGGTTAGGGACACGAATGTCACTGAGCCACTAGGGAATTGTGACCATGCTGCAATCTCTTTCGCCATGCAATCTGACACAAAAACCCTTGATTTCTGAAGGGTGGACTTCCCTCAGATAAGGAAACTAGTTATAAAAAAGTTGAAAGGGAAAGTAAAAATAATCCAATCTCTCCAGAGTGCATGGAGCCTGTTTAAAAGAGGGCCAGTGTAAGTGTATACCTCAAAGAAAGAAGGGCTCAACTAAGGGCTCAACCAGATAGGCAGGATACAAATCAAATAAAATAAATAAATAAATAAATAAATACTGTAAGTCCAAGAGGGTGTCGGCATGGTTAACAAGCAGAGTTAAAGAGGCTTTAAAGGGCAAGGAGGGGGTACTTCTGTAAATAGGAATCTTTCTCAAATGAGAAAAATAAAAAGGAACACAAAGTCTGGCAAAAGAAATGTAAGAAGATGATACAGAAGGCAAAGAAAGACTAAATATGTTAGAAGCAGGGAACCTGCCAGAGAAGCGGCTGGCCTTCCGGGTGTTGAGGGAGCTAAATTAATAGGGGGACTTGGAGGTTGAAGAGAAATTAAGTGAGTTCTTCACATCTGTCCTCACGACCGAAGACCTTGGGCAGACTCCACTGCCCAAACTGCCCCTCCTGACTAGTGAATTAAATCAGATACAGGTTAAAAGAGAGGATGTTTTAGACCTAATTGATAAATTGAGTATCAGTAAGCCACTGGGCCCAGATGGCATCTACCCAAGGATTATTAATCAACTGAGGAATGAAGTTGCTGGTCTCTTCCTCCATGGATTGCATCAGGTGCAGTTTTTTGCATGCTGGCAGATCATTTTCTCCATACTGGATCATCATGGCATCAGGGTAGATGGGGGAAAAATTTCTCCATGTTACACTTGACTATGGGCCTGAGTGATTCCAATTGCATTCCTTAGGTCCCAAAACATCTGATTTGAAGCTGATCCCCTAAGCCAGTGATGGCGAACGTTTTTGAGCCTAAGTGCCCAAACTGCAAAAAACAAACAAAAGCCCAACCCAGCGGGCAGCAGGTGGCAGCGGTGACGGAAGCGGGAATCCCGGGCACAGAGGTGCCTCCAGATCCCAACCCAGCGGGCAGCGGGCGGCAGCGGTGGTGGAAGCGGGAATCCCGGGCAGAGAGGTGCCTCCAGACCTCACTTTGGATCCGCCTCCAGTCGTGCCCAACCCCGCCACTACCTATAGCGTGGTCAGCCTGCCACCGGCAGTGCCAGCTGCTCTGGATCCTGGCCCACCACTTGTTGGGGCACTAGCACTGTGGCTGCAGCTGCCTCCTCAGGTTTGGCTGCTGGGAATAGTGATCCAGCAACTTATGGCTTGCATGCCCACGGAGAAGGCTCTGCGTGCCAGCTGTGGCATGTGTGCCATAGGTTCGCCATCGCTGCCCTAAGCCAAGATGCAGGCTCCACTGAGAGCTGACAACAAACATCTCCACCCAGTACATGATAATGTGTCCAAATAGTCAGAACAATTTAAACCCTCCTATCACTAAATCATAACAATATCTGCTCATATTAGTACTCTTCCACCAGGTGAGGCCTGACATACATCTTGTAAACTGATGAACACTATCTCACCATCACCCGCACCGTATCAGGAGGAAAACCTCATTCAAAGCTTTGATCCAAGCACACTATTTATACTTCCCTGGCAGACCAGAGTGGAAACCTCTTCTTTCTGGTCCACCACAGAAGACTTTGCTTCACCAACCCCAACAACCTTTCTTCCGTTGGCTTCTTTCCTGTTCCAGGGACAATGGTGGCCAGCTTCGGTGCTCAAAGACTCACTGAGGTGCACAACAGGTCCCCAAGGTAATGGGACTCAGGACTCAAGTAGCCCAAGCTTGTTCCTCTGCTTTAGGCAACAAAATGTCTTGGGCCATCCTTGGGTGCTGGGGACAATTTTAGAATTCAGAAAGTGGCCAGAAAAGACAAGTGAACCAAAGTTCGTCTGATGGTGCATGTAAGGCTAAGAATAGACTCTGGCAAGGATGGTCACAGACAAGGGGAACAAAGCTTGTACTGCAAGTCAATCAAAGCAACAAGTGACTCAGGGCGAACTATATTCTGATTTATAGAGGATCATAAATGGACATACAGCTTTACGCAGCAAGAGGGATACAAAGGAGGGGGGAAGGCAACAAGGGAAAGGGTAGGTGAAGCAAAGGTAACAGAGAAATGCAGAGCTACATGTGGATTTACATAACTTTGATGCATCAAAGACAGAGTTCAGAAGTGACATGTCACAAGTTAACAGTGCTATTTGTAATACATTATGAGGGAGCAACAATGTTCTTTTTCATTACATAACATTAAAGCTAATTCACAGATTATTTCATGTAATGAGCAGCATTCATTCATTACTCCTAAAGTATTGCTTTTGTGGAGGGGTCATTTGCAAGGATTTTTTAAAAGCTTTTAGGTTAAAAAGCTTAAAAATTAAGAAGCAATGTGTTAACAATTGTGTTGCTCATAATCTTTAATGTACCCCTTTGTGGGATTCTTAAGAAGCAACACTAACATTTATGCATTAGCTTTTTTAAAAAATAGACTAAACAGTGATCAGAGTCTAGCAGCATCTTGAAGAATGGCAAGTTCTCTTTTATAGAGAGAGATTAGAGACCACTTCAGCAATATGGTATTGTCAATGTCCTTTCCTGAAATCTCAGTTCAAACAGAAAGAGATGCTAGTATTATTCATTTTAAATATACAGATTCATTTAATGATTTGGGTCTGATTCTGGTAATACAATACAAACTGATGGCCCTACAATTATCAGAAAGGCACTTATATTAACTTTAGAACAAAATAATTGCTCATTTCACATGCTAGCAAGGTTATGCTCAAAGTCCTACAAGGCAGGCTTCAGTAGTATGTGGACCAAGAACTCCCAGAAGTACAAGCTGGATTTCAAAGGCGCAGAGGAACTCGAGACCAAATTGCTAACATGCGCTAGATTATGGAGAAAGCCAGAGGGTTCCAGAAAAACATCTACTTCTGCTTCATTGACTATGCAAAAGCCTTTGACTGTGTGGACCACAGCAAACTAAGGCAAGTCCTTAAAGAAATGGGAGTGTCTGACCACCTTATCTGTCTCCTGAGAAATCTATATGTGGGACAGGAAGCAACAGTTAGAACTGGATATGGAACAACTGATTAGTTAAAAATTGGGAAAGGAGTATGACAAGGCTGTATATTGTCTGCTGTATATGCAGAATACATCATGCGGAAGGCTGGACTGGAGGAATCCCAAGCCGGAATTAAAGACTGCCGGAAGACATACCAACAACCTCAGATATGCAAATGATACCACTCTGATGGTAGAAAGTGAGGAGGAATTAAAGAACCTCTTAATGAGGGTGAAAGAGGAAAACTTTATTTTCTTGCTTATTATGAACAAACAAAAATGTGGAGGGCAGATAACTATTCAGTTTTAATCTCAGAATTCAGGCTTGAAATAATGGTGTCCATCTTGTCTCAATGAAGGAATGGCAAATTTGGAGGGATAAGTTTCCTATTGACTCTCATTTACCTGGACACTTTAGGAGAAGAAAGAGGGCCTGTCCTACCATTAAGCAATATAAAACAATGATTCAGGGTGCCATGAAAGGGCAGTCAATTGTTAGTAACTTAATTTGTTGTTACTGTAATTTTGATGCCAAGGATGGGAAGAAACACTTATATTTTCTGCCTCAAGTACCAAAACAACTCACCCAGCTTTGGGTATATTTACCTTTTCTTGTATGACTGTGGGGTTGCGAGTGGGCACTCTGCCTCAAGAAGCAAAGTATCTTGAGCAGGCCATCTTCCTCAATGGAAATGTTATTGTCATAGTTGAGATTATGGGGGTTTAAAGCACGTATGAAGATGGTTTGTGTAGTTGTGAAGAAATATAAAATGGATCTTTATTTGTCCTGTGTAAGAATGATTTTGTAGGATGGGAATGTTGTTCCAGAGGGCTGTGGGAATGTTTTTCCTTTAAACCAGTACAATGCAAGATAAGAAGACCAGACACTTGTTATGGTGGTGAAGAGAATAGACGGAGGCAAACAACACCTGTTTCTCATGAGAAGGAGGGGATTACTTCTATCACCTTACACTGTGACTGGATGACAGCGTGGGAGACGAAGATGGGAGGAGTCTAGAAGATAGAAAAATGAACTTTTGCCATATGCAGTGTTCCGCCTTGTTTCGATTTTTTCCTTTGTTGGAACCAGAGATTTTTCTGGGTCTTTTTTTCCTGCTGCCTTGGGGAGATGTAGAGAGTTAAAGAAAGAGGAGGAGGGAAGCTTTATGCCTTTTACCTACCCTAAGGAAGCTTTTGGAGATTTTTAGAGCTTTTGTAATCAAAAGGGAATTAGTTGCCTTAATTGTAATTGTAAACAAGCCTTGAAAATGTATTATTGCTATGCTTTTGCATCAAACTGACTTTATTCTGTAAATCGCAGTCGTGTTCAATAAAAAAGATAAATTATAAAAAATTTTGGTCTCTTGAACAGTAAAGCCTGTCGCAGTCATTCCTAGAGGGAGAGGCAAGGCCACAGTACGTTACTGAGTCCTACCTAATTGAGCTTAGTAGATTTTAGGACTACAAAGCTCATGTTAACTTCTTGCTGAACTCAATTAAGCATAAGCAAGTATCTTTTGGGAGCAGACTTGTAAGAAGGGGTTTGTTCTACGCCCTGGCTGAGATCACCAGGACTCTACCCAGCTGTCTAGGGGTACAGGCTCCCAATTACTCTCTGTCCACCGACGAAGTTCTCCTTAACAGGAAGCTGGGTCGTGAATTATAACAAACAGTGTAGACTTTTCCAATATAGTGTCTGAAATCCTGTTGCCTAGCATTATAAATTGCACTAGAGTAGGCCCACTGAATCAATGGGCATTTGGTGACCCAGTTCCTCAAGTTCCATTGATTCAAATGGACTTACTTTAGTTGCAAGTTACTATATTAAGCAACAGGATTTTGGCCATTGACATGTACTAATATATTTATTCATAACTTGAGAGAGGTAGATACAATATATTACATTTAAACCCTGATAAGGTGCTCAAGACCATCCATATGGAATCATTGTTAGGATAAAATGTTTACCAGAGAGCTGGCAAAGGCACTTTTTTTGGCTACAACTCTCCAAATCTCCCAACTAGCACAGCGATTTTGCTAACCCTCTAGCTGAGATCCGCTGTACCTTATTAGCATACCCAGAAAGACTTAACATGGTATGCATTTGTAGAAGCTATCATCCTAGCTTTTATTCTGCTACCTTTTCCTGACTTCCTAGGACAGTACACACTATTAGATCCACACACAATTCCTTTTCACCCATGCAAAGCTGTAATCTATAATTGACTTTTTATAGTAGGATCTGACAAATGTTGCCTGAAAAAGGCCAGTATCTTTTGCCATACATCTTCCTGAGCCTTTGCATGTTCTCTCCATTCTCCTCCCCAAAGCACAGGTGTTTGTAATGGCCTGTAAATGGAAACCTGGCACAGTGGCAAGTAGGGTGGCTCCAGGAGGTGCCCAGCCCCAGGGTAGGAGCAGAACTCCACATGATGTCCACTCTCCCTAAGACGCTGGACAACTTCCCGGCAGAACAGCTCACTTTGCAAGTTTCTGTCATCTTGTCCTGATAAGAAGAGGAACTTGCTCAGAGATTTCTCCACAGGGATGCGGCATGGCCAGGTTGATGGATCTCTGGGGTCATCCAAGATTTCTGAGAAATCCAGAATTCCAGAGTCACCAATGGTCTTGCATTTCCTCAGGTCATAGGGATGAAGAGGAATAGTGAGCCCCTTCACTTGCAGGGGGATAAAAGAATTAACACCTGAGCCAGAAATGCAAACAGCTGCTCGGACAGCAGGTGAAAAAGTGGCCAGCGCGATGGCCAGATCTGCACCTTTAGAGAGTCCAAGAACTCCAATCCCTGTAGATTTCACCTGCAGGGGAAAAACAATCAGAGAAGGATTAGCATCAGTTCTACATCTGCCACTTCTTTTCCCATTTTTTAAAACTACCCATTAAGAACTCCTTGCTGCTACTGTATAACACTCCTGCACCCCATCTTATCTCATATATAAATCTTATCTTGTGCCCTTGCCAAACAAGTTTGGGAAGGTTGTGAAACCAAGAGTTTTATACAGTAGCAACAAGGAGGGAAGGGAGAGGGAGAGTAAGAGGAGATATCGGGTCCAGGGATGACTTTTTTAAACAAAGGTCCTCTGTAGCGAACACCCTGCCTTCCCATACAGTGGTGCCTCACAAATGATTATAATTCATTCCGTGAGAAGTGCTGTCTTGCAAAAAATTCATCTTGCGATTTGGGAACCTCGAAAGACAAATGAAATTTATTCGTCTTGTGAGGCATCGGTCTCGGAAAAAAAAGGATTGCAAAGCATGGCCACAGAAAACCGTCTTATTTATTTATTTGATTTATACCCCGCCTATCTGGACCGATGGACCACTCTAGGCGAGGCACCATAGCGATTGCAAAAAACCAGTCGTCTTGCGGGTTTTTTGTCCCGTGAGGCAATCGTCTTGCGAGGCACCACTGTATATGTAAAGGTATTAGCCTGCACTAATGGGAGTTGTTGGGAGGCGGAGCCAAAGTAAAACTAGAAGGGAGGGGTGAGTTAGAGTGAGACAGAGTTGGAGTTAGAGAACTATAGGCTTGACAATTAGAGAATTAACTGTGAAGTGGACAGTTAGGCTGTGAAAAGTTAAAGGTAGTGGTTGAGAGTGAGAACATTAAAGAAAGTTAAATAAGAAATAAGTTATTAAAAAGCCAATAAATGCCTTAACGTCTTTTAACAGTTTATTCAAATGAACTGCAATCAATAAACCTGTTTTATGTTGAAAGTCACTCAGCGTATGGACTTCAATATTTCTGAGTACAGTGGTGCCTCGCATAACGAGCGCACCATTTAACGACGAATCCGCATAGCGATCTATTTTTTTAGATCGCTAATGCGATCACATTGCTATGTTCTGAACAGGAAAACATCGCATTGCGTTTCGCTTATCGATCTTTGCATTACAATGTTTCTAAAACAGCTGATTGGCGGTTCCAAAATGGCCGCCGGGTGCCCAAAATGGCCGCCGCAACCATTTTTGCACGGTTTCCTCACTTACCGAGGGCGCGAAAATGGCGGCGCTATGGAGGATCTTCGCTGAACTGTGAGTTTGGGCCCCATAGGAACACATTAAACAAAGTTTAATGCGTTCCTATGGGGTTTTCTGTTCCTATGGGTTTTTCCGTTCCGTTTAGCGATGTTTCTGCATAGCGACGATTAATCCGGAACGGATTAACATCGCTATGAGGGGCACCACTGTAAATTGTGTTGGTAAGGACCAACTGGTGGTAGCGTGAATTAAAAAGGGAACATGACTTGTGTGCCTTGGATTAATGAAACAACCTGGAGGCACACAGGAAAGAGGGCCACGTCACACCCTCCTTTATGCATTCTGTTGGAAGGAAGCATTCCCTTCTTTAACCCACTCAGCCAGTCCAAGAAGGGAAACGATCCAGCACACGTGCAGTGCCCTTTACCTCTCCAGAGATCCTGTCCAAATCCTCAGGCTGCACCAACTGAAACAAATCCATTTAACAGGGCAAGCCGGGGCCAAAGTTATATCAACAGGACCTGGGCCAACTACAGCATCTAGGTCAGAGGTGATCCAAGCAACTTTCTCTGCAAAGTGCAGTGGAAAATCTTCAGAGCAGACCGTTGAATAGTCAGTCAGTGTCCTTCTCCTTCAGCCATCTGTGCAAAAGGCCCATGATAACCTGAAAGAGCTCTGCACAGATGCAATGGTGGCAGAGCAGAATAGCTTCTTTCCCACCACCACTGCCACACAGTAGTTTCCAATGAGCTCTACCCTGTGTTCCATCGGTTTTTCTTAGTTTTCCACTATTGCTGCTCAAGTTTCCATCCCACTCGTTCTATCATCCTCAACTCTTTAGTAAACCAAGGAGACAGTTTGGTTGCTTTTTGTGAGAGGGGACACTTAGGAGTGATCTTGTCAGTAGTTCTGGCTGGTTCCATATTCCAGAGATCCACCAAGGCCTTGAAAGGATCTATTCATGAAGCCTTTCATGGCCGGGATCTAATGGTTGTTCTGAGTTTTTTGGGCTCTTTGGCCGTGTTCTGAAGGTTGTTCTTCCTGACGTTTCGCCAGTCTCTGTGGCCGGCATCTTCAGAAGACAGCAACCTGCACACTGCACACTTATCAAGACAGCAGGAAACCATTTGGATTGATCAGTCTCCTAGAGTGGACCATTTTAATTGGCCTTCCACTCCTGCAGAGGCTCAAAGTTCCAATATACTCAAACCTTACCAGGTAGTGATCTACGAACACAAGAGTAGGTGATACCTTTATAGACCACTAAAAATAATAATAAATAAATCACACAGTCTACTAGCTTTCATGGAATAGGATAATCCACTTTGTCAGGCATGTATGTATCAGGTTTTCTGTGTCACACACATACCAACCAAACAAAACCATGTCATTTCAAAGGAAGGCCATATGGGAAAGTATATGCATCAGCCTGCCTCCACTTGTTTGAAGAACTGGGGTGTGATATCCAAGCTGCCTCAGCTGTAACCTTAAAACAACCCCAATGCACCCTGCATCTTTCCTGAATTACATCTAAGGAAGATGTAACTGGCAAAATTAATATTGCCAAGAACATTTGGACTTTACATTCTCCACACTGGTATATGCCTGATGAAGTGGATGGTCCTGATCCACAAAACTAAGCATATTACTGTATACCATGTTTTCAAAAAGTTATCTACAAAGGTATCAGCTAGTCTTGCATTTGTATTTTGCAATGGCCACTTGGCCCCCTTTTATTTCAGGTAGAGATCTGTCCATGACAATGGAACTACCGGAAATTCCTCACCACTCACTATCCTGTCACTGACAGAAAACTAGGTCGAGAGTGTGCCCTGCAACACGAGAGAGGCCAGACAGCAGTTGGAACAGCCCCGTGGTCATCATGGTAAACATGAAATCCTGAGCTGCTCCTGAGAAACTGGTCTCTATATGGATACTGAAGTACCCCAGCACAACAACCCAAGGCAACTGCAACACCGCACCTGAGACCAACTCAGCCAGCTCATGCAGGGAGACTGTTATGCAGGTGGGTTGCACACCAAACAGATTCCCTATTCTGTCAAGGGCTCCCACTCTCAAGTACATGAACTCATACTCCACAGTCTCTGGGAGAGGGTATCGGGTAAGGGTGGCTGAATTTTGAAAGAATATTGCAAGTCCTCCCCACATACAACCCCCAGGGTTTGCCTTCACATAGAACCCAGATGGGCAAAGCTGAGAAAGACTTACTCCCTCAGCTTAATCCACCCAGGTCAATACACACCAGGTCAGCATGTTCATCCATGAGCAGATCCAGGATGTTAGCTGACCTGGCATTTAAGTGAACTGGCATATAACAACAGTACCTTCAACTCAGGAGGCTTGCCATCAAGGTTATCCAGGCTATTTGATTTGGGAGACAATTGGGGGGGGGGGGCAGAAACCAGCACTTTATTATCTACCCTTCTCCCATGATGGCATTGATGCCCCCCAACTCTGTATCTCCCCCTGCTCTCTGTAATGGTAACAGTTATAATAACCAGAATCCTCTAGCCAATATCCAGAATTTCACACCAATTCAAATGTCAGGATCTTATGACTAAAAGACTGACGGCTCCAGAGCAAAGATCTATCAGGGCACTCACCTGCTTCTGTTTCTGCAGGAACTCTACCGCCTCACCAAAATAATCCAGTTCAATGACCTCTGGCAGAGCAGGGAGATCCTCAAAGGCTAAGTAAGCAACGGCCAGCGTCACAAAACCTCGGCTGGCCAAAAGACTTGCTCTGTATTCCACCAGCCCCCCACTAGATCCATACAGGTCGATGAGTCCCGGGAATGGTCCAGGGCCTAGAACGAGAGCATTAGGGTACATTAAAATGTTTCTTTTATGCAATGGCCCTTTGTCAGCACAGAATCACCCAGATATCACAAGAGACATTTAGGCACCCATTTATGAAGCCCTCTTTCTAGTCTTATATACTGGCACCGACACTTTCATTCTTCGAGAAATTGGTAGAACTGTTGTTTATTAATGGATGTTTATCTGGAAACTGCCCTGTGTATTGCTTATGTATCCTAGTCCTTAACTAACGCGAAAACTAAATGGAGCCCCTGTGGGCGCAGGCAGTCCTCTCTGGCCATCCTCTCCCGACGACCCGGGGAAAGAGTTACGCGCCAGCCTTCAAAAGCTCCCTCCGACGAGGCCCGCCACTCACCGGGGGGCAGAAAGAGGGTGGCCCTGAGCCGGCCCTCCCGCACGGCCACCCGCCTCACGCCCTCGGCCAGGAACCACCGCTCGCTGCGGCAGCTGCCCAGGAGCCGGCTGCAATTATACAACATGCAGGAAATCATGGGCTCCAGGCCCTCGTAGCTCCCGCCGGCCAGCGCGGCGCAGCGGCTGAGGTCCAGCTCGCCCTGGCCGCCGGCTCGGTAGTACGCCGTGGACTGGAACCGCTCGCCGCTCTCATCTTCCAGCCAGGCTCGCACCGTCACCTCCCGCAGCGGCGGGAGGCCCTCGATCGTCACTCGGACGGGCTCGTCGTACAGGCACGTGGGGGAAGGCAGGACGCGGATCCGCGCCGCCATGCGGGGCCACCCGGCGCCGACAAGGAGCGCTCCTGTCCGGGGCAGCAGTCCTCGCCCCCTTCTCTCCGCTGGCACTTTTCTTTCGCAGCCTGCAAAAGTCCAAAGGGTGCAAGCAGCGCAGGGAGCAGCGAAGCGAGAAGCCTTCTGGGTAATGTAGTTCATCCGAGCAGAACCTCTATTGCTATTCAGAGTCTTAAGTATTTGACAAAACTTCTTTACTGTCTTAGAATAGACAGAAACTCCTAACAAAGATAGTGAATTCATCACTATTCACTCTATTCACTCTGTGGAAGATTTTGTGCGTGTGTGTGTGTTTCATCATTTCATCTGGAAGTCAAAGATCACAACCAATCTTCCTGGCCCTTTACCCTTTACTCCTTCCAAACATGGATCTTGCTCAGTGTTAGTAACTGACCACCGTTATACGCCAAGCATCATCTTCATGTATGCCTCCCCAAAGACAGATCTATTTCCCTCCATGGAAAATAGCCTGTTTATTAACTTATTGCCAGACTTAACTTGAAGGGACGTGGTGGCGCTGTGGGATAAACTTAGCCTTAACTTGTAAATCCTGAGGATAAATGACCGAAGATATTCTTAAAATTATTCTGGGGCCAAATAAAGTGAGGGTTGTATAGGGCCAAAATGGCTCCTTTAACTGTTGTTGATGGACAACGGGAAGTAGGTACAGATTCATCCAGTGTTGAAGCCTGAGGATAAATGACCGAAGACTTAGGGCCAAAATGGCTCCCTTAACTGTTGTTGATGGACAACAGAAAGTAGGTACAGATTCATCCAGTGTTGAAGTTAAATGCCTTCTTGAGGCCCATCTTCACCAGAAAACAGGCAGGAACATTCTCCTTGAGTTGAAGCCTCGAAGCCATAAAAGGCAGAGTCACACGAAAGAGCCCTGGAGCAGCCCATCACTATACTCTGTATTCTCCAGGAAAATTCAAGTATGACACTTCCAGAGTAACATATTAATTTTACCACAGAGTGTAATGATACACACAACCCAGCCACCCTTAGTCTTCTTCTTGGTGAACAGAGAGCCAAATTGTGCCTCTTGCCAGTAGTCCCTGGGCAACTGACACTTGTGGTGATAAAAGCATTCCTGGTCACCCTAGCCTTTATTCAAGCATTTGCCATTTTATTGTTAGTGTGTGGGATTGTGGAAATGTAGATGCATATTTAAGATGAAAAAGTGGATGCACGTATAAGCCCTGCCTCCAAATGTCACAATGTGGCATTCTAAAAAGTTTAAATAAGGCTCTGTGACCCCATTCAGCTGAATGCAGTTACAGAGCGCTGTATAGATCTTTGCACTCAACACACAAAGGTCCAGAATGTTTATGGAAGTGCAGCAAAGTTCAGAGGCTTAGTTGCATCCCTGCCTGATTTTAACTTCACATGCCAGCAAGCAGAATAAAGCTACTGCCACCAACAGACAGGAAACCAAAAGTTGACTGTGCTCTGGACAGGCAATCCTCCCCTTTATTTAACAGCAACAAATCAACATCGTATCTAGATTCAACTTCAGCTTATTAACACTTACTGAATCCACTGGAGCTGTTTGAGGGACTCACTGCTTGAAGACCTAACAGTAAAGAAACAAAAAGCTGGCAGTCATTGACATACTCTGACATCACTCTGACTATCCTGGAGTAAACAGAAATCCTTGTGCCACAAGTATCATACATGTAATTCATAATATTAAAGTTAAAACATTTCAGGTGTCTAGAAATTGATCTATGATCCAAGACAACTAAGAACACAGTCTTGAAACCTATTTCTGATGGTTTCAGAAAATCTGTTTTATCCTTGAAGGCAATATTGTTTAGTTCAGACTTTGATTTGCTAACTGAAAAAGCACCAGTGACATAACAAAGCAATGCGGTATTGATTTCAAAGGTCACTCAAGTTAAATAACCATGTAAGGCATAATTTAATCTAGATTTATTGTGAACACTCCTCTAATGTTCATATGACATCAGAACAGTTGTCTTTTGTCATGATTTGGTAGACCATTCCTAAATTATGCATGTTCAGCTCATTAAAAAAAAACATAAATTAGATCCCCACATTGAATGTAGAAAGGTAGCTGTTCCAAGATCCGATTGCATGACTGTGCTACTTTAGTTCCACGGCTTTTGTGAGTGAATCCAACAGCTGATAATATGAATATTTTAGATCATATTCCATATCATACCAATAATTCACTGAGGAAAAAAGAAAACAATGTAAGCAAGACCCTACAAACTGTATCTGGAAAAAGCTAATCTTGGTTTTAGAAAAATGGACCCCTCCCATCCATAATTTTCATAGTTTTTAGATGGATTTTGTATGATTAGTCCCAAACCCCGTATGACAAGAGGTTCAAACACAACATGTTTCATTAGAAATATGGCAGGCACTTCAAAATAGACCTGCCTTACATATAAAAGCTATTTTTATGTGTAACAACTTCCTATTCTGATCAAGTAATTTAAACAATCTTACTGGAATCTATGAGAAAAGGATTTTAGCGGTGTGTGGTTTAATTTGAATCAGCTGAGTAATATAGGAAACTGCTTCCCATACAGTGGATATAAAAAGTTTACACACCCGTTAAAATGTCAAATGTCCGTGATGTAAAAAAATGAGACAAAGATGAATCATTTCCGAACTTTTTCCACCTTTAATGAGACTTATGAACTATACAACTCAGTTGAACAATAAACTGAAATCTTTTCGGTGGAGGGAAGTAAAAATAAAAAACTGAATATGGTTAAATCTGTGTACACATCCTTAAACTAATACTTTGTCGAAGCACCTTTTGATTTTATTGAAGCACTCACTCATTTTGGGTATGAGTCTACCAGTATGGCACATTTTGACTTGGCAATGTTTGCTCACTCTTCTTTGCAAAAACGCTCCAATTCTATCAGATTGCAAGGGCGTCTCCTGTGCACATTTGTCTTCAGATCACCCCACAGATATTCAATCGGATTCAGGTCTGGGCTCTGGCTGGGCCATTCTAAAATGTTAATCTTCTTCTGGTGAAGCCTTTGTTGATTTGGATGTTTGCTTTGGGTGGTTGTCATGCTGAAGGATGAAGTTCCTCCCCATGTTCAGCTTTCTAGCAGAAGCCTAATGGTTTTGTGCCAATATTGACTGGCATTTAGAACTGTTCATAATTCCTTCTACCTTGACTAAGGTCCTTGAAGAAAAACAGCCCCAACACACGATGCTGCCACCACCATGCTTCACTGTGGGTATGGTGTTCTTTTAATGATGCACAGTGTTGTTTTTGCACCAAACATATTTTTTGGAATTGGGGCCGAAAAGTTCAACCTTGGTTTCATCAGATCATAAAACCTTTTTCCACATGCTTTTGGGAGACTTCAGATATGTTTTTGTAAAATTTGGCCAGGCTTGGATGTTCTTCTTCGTAAGAAAAAGCTTCCACCTTGCCACTCTACCCCATAGCTCAGACATATGAAGAATATGGGAGATTGTTGTCACACACAGCCAGTACTTGCCAGATTTTCCTGCAGCTCCTTTAATGTTGCTGTAGGCCTCTTGACAGCCTCCCTGACCAATTTTCTTCTAGTCTTTTCATCAGTTTTGCAGGGACGTCCAGTTTTTGGTAATGTCACTGTTTTGCCATAGTTTCTCCACTTGATGACTGTCTTCACTGCGTTCCATGGTATATCTAATGCCTTTGAAATTCTTTTGTACCCTTCTCCTAACTGATACCTTTTAACAATGAGATCCCTCTGATGCTTTGGAAGCTCTCTTCTGTTATAGAAGGTGACTAAGAAAATGTCAGGAAAGACCTATTAGCATAGCTGATCTTTATTTATGATTCCTCAGAGGCATTTTAAATGATGGCAGGGTGTACTGACTCCTACTTAACATGAGTTTGAATGTGATTGCTTACTGCTAAACACAGCTACATCCCCAGTTATAAGAGGGTGTGCACACAGATGCAACCATATTATTTTAGTTTTTAATTTTTACTTCCCTTTACCTAAAAGATTTCAGTTTGTTGTTCAACTGAGATGTACAGTTCATAGCACTGAGGGTGGAAAAAGTTCTGAAATGATTTATCTTTGTCTCATTTTTTTACATCACAAACACTTGACATTTTAACGGGTGTGCAAACTTTTTATATCCACTGTATACAGCTTTCCACCAAGAACAGCATGGGAATCTTATTTTCAAGTAGCTACTGCTCTAATAATCTAATAACGTGAATTAATAATCCTTCTGACAAAAGATTTAAAGGCAATCAAGTATAAGAGTACTGTAGTTGGCGAATTTCACTGCAGTCACTGAACAGCTGTGTTGTTACTGAACAGCTGTGCCTCATAAAAGTTATTATTCCATCTTCAATTTACCATTTGTAGAAAGAACATATTAATGACTTAAGACAGTGAAGTTCAAATTGGGTTACTTGGAGAAAAAAGCAGAAAGACTCAATTTACAGAATCTTTAATGAGATTCTTTTACATAAGTCCCATGTGAAATAAATCTCTTATTATGCAACTTACACTTGAGATCAGCCAGGAGTTGTTGAATTGTGTCCTTCACCAATTAATTTTTAAAAGGGGAAATAATTTGAATGTTCAGGTACCAAATTATGTTCAGAGAACTCAGGCTTCATCTACTGAAACCTTCTGGCTTAGATCCTGAGTTGAGATTCAACAAAAAGAAAGTATCTTTTTTTCAAGGCAGATTCCCACTGGTAGAAGGGAAGAAGTTGAATCTGGGTAGACAAAAGTATGACCTAAGATATCTAGTGAATATATCTGGTTGTAGTTACTACAGATTAAAGATCCTTTGGGCAAGCACCATTTTTCTTACCTGCTATGCAGCCATGTGACTGTCGAACATGATGGAACCAGAGAGAAGGGAGATACAACATGTCTCCAGCTTTTACAGTGCATTGCAAAGGTTTTGTCTGGGCATATTCTGGGTATCGTTCCAAATCTGGATTTAAAGGATCCAATGGAATCCATGGCACCTGTTGGTAAGAAAATTAATGCAACATACCTAGTTTCTCTTAAGGGAAATTGTATCTCACCCCTGAAGAAACTGATCAATATTTTTTTCCTCTGGTGACAAAAAATGTGAGAAACACCTTTTCCCCCCCTACCAGCTATCTACAATATCTTGCTTTTTATTCATTCCTAATGTGCTTTCTGGGTACCCAGTATGGTATAGTAGATAAGAGTAATGGACCAGGACTCGCAAGACTTGGGTCTTCTGGGGCAACTCACTGGGGGTGTGGGGCCCTGGTAAAACCACTTCTTAAATACCTCATTTACCTTGAAAATTCTATTAGGGTCACTATAAGCCAGTTCCGACTTGATGGCACATTAATAGCAATGAGCTTTCCACCTATCTAAAATTTTATTTTTTACTATCAAGCTCTATGTGACTTGGGTCCAGTTTATCTGATGAGCCATCTTCTCCCATATAAGTCTTCACAGGCTCTGAGGTCTTTGGAGACACCCCGCTCTCAGTCCTGCCATCCTTGCAAACATATTTCGTATGGATGTAAGAGAGGGCCCTCTTGATGGCTAAGTCTCCCAGACTTACTGTAGGTATTCCCTGCTGAGCAAAGCTCGATCAACCTCTCCCTTCTGTCCTTACATCTTTACTTATACCACCAGGCAGCTTTGGGCAACTAAATAGCTACTTAGAGGAGTTCTGGAAGCTGATATATTTAGATGAGCTCTTAAATTTTTAACACACTCATGATGTACTCCTTCCTTTTTAAAAAATGGCTATATTTTAAATAGTTTTTAATTCAATACAGTGGTGCCTCGCTTAGCGATCGCTCCGTTGAGCGATGAAATCACTTAGCAATGGGGTTTTGGCCATCGCCAGAGCGATCGCTTAGCGATGGCCCCTATGGGGAAAAATCGCTTTGCAATGATTGCAGGGAAGCGATCATGGCAAAGTGACCCTTTTTGCACAGCTGATCGGCAGTTCCAAAATGGCCACCAGAAAAATAAAATGGCCGCCTGCTGTTTTGCCTCGCTTTAGAGGCACCGAAAATGGCCGCCCCTATGGAGGATCTTCGCATAAGGTCAGTTTTTAAGCCCATAGGAACACATTAAACATGTTTTAATGCGTTTCTATGGGCTTTTTAAAATCGCTTAGCGATTACTGGTAAATCAGTCAGCAACGTTTTTCCTGGAACGGATTAACGTCGCTAAGCAAGGCACCACTGTACTTCTTTAGTTTGATTACATTTTAATATAGAAGTATACTAACCTATCAGTACTTGTTTCAGCAGCATGCTTAATCTGTTTTTCTTTACATGTGAATAAATTCTGATCAGCTTTGCAATGACATATACATTCACTGTGAATCAAGAGCGTCTCATCTCTAATAATAATAATAATAATAATAATAAATCAACCTCCTCCTGAAAACTGGTGGTGAATCATCATTAGTAAAACAACCGAACATGAGTGTTTGTTCATATATGCTGATGTGCACATTTTACTATGTGTATTATTCTATTTTCTTTAAATTTCTTTAAACTATGAACTGCCCTGAAGTCAAATTTGGTGAATGTTACATATTAATAAATAATGAGTTTGGAAGCCCTTACAAGTCTAAGTGATACAAATAACACTTCTTTGCTTTTATTCATACTTACTTTTAGATGGCTGAAAAACAGCTTTACCTGACAGGAGGTAAAAATAAAACTAAATCTTTCCTAAGATATTTCTTAGTACTTGTATCTCCATGGATAGTGTTTAGTACAAAATCTCTCAATACCTTCTCTGCAGTTTTATCATCCACAACCTCAAATGAACCATCTTCCAACATATGGTATGTTGCTGGTGGATACATTTCTGGAATGCAAAATATGGGAACTGTTAGAACAGTTCCCATGTTTTGGGAACACAATATTTTGGGGGCAGAGATAAAGGACTTTCAGGGCTTAGTATGATGTACACTAAAAGTATTTGAGTAGAGTTCATCTCAGTCAATGCACTGGGTCAGAATTAGTTCAGCCATTTGTTATAGATTTGAAGACAACCTAGATATTATGTGGACATCCTATGAATTGAACTCTCTGATTCCCCACTTCTTGAAATGCAACAGATTGCAGGGGACAGATGGACAGACTAAGTCCAAGCCAGATTCTCTCTCTTTCCATCCTACAGCCCTAATGAAAAACCCAACTATAAGCCCCAGACTTAAAAACTTACGTGAGTAATAATTATGTTTGAAGTTTTCTTTCCATGGCCAACAGCAGCTTAAAGGAGTGGGATTTAAGGGAAAGAATTAAGAGACAAAGTGTTTGATCCATCTCCTTCTCTATAATGCACATGGAAGCAGGTTTTGGTCTGTCCCTCTTCCACAGTGCAGGACTGATTCAAATCGTTCCTTCCTTTCAGTTGCCTCTCAAAGAATTTTTTTAAAATTATGGGAACGAAACAATCACAGATCACTTGTAATCTGTAGCTACTTTCCCTTTGAGAAACTTGGTAATCCCTTTGGGGACAGCTTCCCACCAAGTTTTATGCACAACACAAAGTAGTGGTCCATTACAGCCTCTTGTGGCTTAGTATGGTATGGCCTCTACTCTGGTTAGCTAAAGACCACAACAGAAAACTATAGAATACAAGTTCGAGCCTATTGCTACATCATAATAAGATCCCCACATCTCCCTTCCCTCCCTGGCATGCCACAAACTCCAGCTGACAGCGCCACTTGTAACATCCACCCCATCTTACTTTTAAAATGAAACATTAGCTGGATAGTAAAACACTGCTAAAATCCACCCCCACTTTATAATTCGAATGACTCCAGGAGTAAAACCCAATAAAACACAACAACATTCTCCTTCTCAGGAGACATACCATATGGGATGAATGGACGATCACTTGGTGGATGTAGCAGAAAATGTTTTTCTCCAGAAATGACACAGTACAAGTTTTCATAATGGTCTTTATGCACTACAGTTGGAAGGAGAGAGGGAAAAATGAAGGTATGGATGGAAAGGAGGAGGGGAAATAATAGTCCCCCTTATCTCCGTTTAAAACAAAGCTGTACATCTGTAAGAATCCACATAATTTTAGTGCCTCTACTGCTTTTCTTATTCTTCTTTTTTGAATCTCTGGAGCTTTTCCTCCATTTCAAGGATTCCCCTTCCCCTTCCAAAATTGTAATGTTTCCTGCGATGGTGCTCTTCCCTTCCCCTTTATTAATGCATAATCAATAAAATCTCCCCAAATTTCTGCAAAAGTATATCTTTTAGACACTCCTTTTTTCACTTTAATATTGCATGTTAATTTGTCATTAATAGCTATATTCCATACTTCTGTATACCATTCACTTAATTGAAAATTATGTCTTGTCTTCCAGTACTTGGCCATAATTAACCTAGCAGCTGTGACTAAATTAGAAATTAATTCTATAGTTGCCCAATTATATTCCACCTTGTCAAATATTGATAGAAGTGCTATTTTAGGACAAACTTCTACATTTTGTTTGGTTATTTCTCTTATTTCTCCAAATATTATTTGCCAAAATTTCAACACACTGTCACAGTCCCACCACATATGAAAATATGTGCCAGTTTCCTGGCATCCCCTCCAGCACAACATAGAGTAATTTTTATTTACTTGATTTAGTTTCATTGGAGTTAAGTACCATCACCAAACAATCTTATAAAAATTCTTTTTATTTCTTATAGACATGGATTTCACTGTTCTTACATCCCATACTCTTCAAGCTAGTAGGAAATTTTATGAATGAAGCTAATATATAATATACATAAATTATAAACTGGAAAAACCATTAGATCTCAGGTACTTCGTGATTTTTACTGCACTGAATCTGTGCTAGCATCGAAGGGAGCCAAGGTAATGCAGAGGATAAGACATTCCAACAATAAAATAACATTTGTTAAAGTGAAACTCCTCTGTGCTTGTGTAGAGTTCTTTTCCCTAAAATGGTATCCTATCTAGACTTGCCCTCAAACTGTAGCTAAGAATGCATTTCCCTCATGGTACATACAAGATGTCACTGCAGTAGATTCTCCTAGCCAGAAATTCACTGCATCCGGCTTTTTTCCTGTTGAGAAAGAAAAACAATAATAAATTAGAGAATGCATTTGAATTATTTTGGACTGAAAGATTACCCATTTAACAACATGTTCACTTAGTTCCTGCCTCCATTTTTCCTGTGTTGAAGAGGTAAGTTAAATGGTTGGCTGAAGCACATCACTGTAACCACTGAAAAACGCAGATAACAGATACTGAGCTTTTTATTACATAAACAAGAGCAATTGAAAACTAACCATTGACAACTCAGGGGTATGTGTGACCATGTATACTTGTACCTTTCTCACAAAGTGAAGAACCATGCTTTGGGTAAGTGGGACACCTAACCATGGGTAAGATGTCTAGTGAAAGCAGAACCCTCTTATCTTGCTCAATAAAGACACTGGGAGAACAACCAAATGCCCATATTTTCCCCAAACATTGCCCCTCTTCATAAGCTAAGCATGGGCATGGGAGTGGGGGAATGGGTTTATCCCAGTATAGGAGGCTAGCACACACCCTAAGAAACAGTTGAATGTATCTGGGCACCGTATAGGCAAATACAGACCTCCTTGCCACTGTGAATGTACAAGCAACACTTTGCTTGCTGAATCTTGGCACCAAATAATAGGAAGGGGGTGAGACACCATACATTTGCTGTAAAAATCTTTTAATAATTACATAAATACATAAATATAATAGCCTTCAGAGCCCGCACTTTAGTTCGTAGGCACTCATTCTCAAGCAATTCCAATCAAGCCATGGGTTAGCTGGATAGCTCCGGAGCCATTGTTAGCCTCCCACATTTCCTCCTCTTACAAATTCTTCTTTCTCCTCTTCTACTGCAATTATCAGAAGCATATGTTAGCATTTAATTCACACGACGAGTTTGTTTTGCTTATTATTGATACAGAAATTGGCATGAACAAAGCCATCAATTCCTCCCACTACAAATTCACTAACACACTCCAGCATTTCAGAGCATGCTGAAGGCTAAGAATGCAGAAGGCAAAGTGCTTTTCCACTGGAGCTGGGAGTGTGCAGGTGGTAATTGAAAACAAGCACAAAAAGTGGAACTACTCAGTGAGCCTTAGGTACAGCCTTTAAATGAGCTTTGCAATCCTCCAAGCCACAGATAAAACTAGAATTTTGATATTTACCAAGTGCCTGGCTCATCCAAGGTATCTCAGGCTCTAGGTCATCCATAAGTTCAGGAAATTCCTCTGTCAGGTTTGAACACTGTTTCTGTACATAGAATACTCCAGGTAAAATTACTTTTTTCTCCACAATGTCCAAGAAAGTACTGAAAGGCATGTGTCGTTCTTCTGGCATAACAAACCAGTCCTGATAAACCGCATCAGCATAACCATTTGGAGTTACTGCTACACTCACCAACTTGGAGTTCACTATGTCCCTGCACCAAAACACAGATGAAATTCACAGCTGTGCAAGAAGCTGACAATTATGATAAGAAGTAAAATTACAGAATAGCACCCTATACCAGTTCCTGCTACCTTGGAATGCAACAGGCTCACCCTGTTCAGTGATTTCATGGTGGTCTCAAGTTTCATGCACGACTTCTGTGTTAACGTTAAGAAGCTTAATCAAATAATCTTCTACATACATGGAATTTTAAAAAACTGAAACAACGTATAGCTTCATAGATACCCACCGCAAGTAAGCTAATGTCCACTTCTTCAGAGCTGGCCAGTGTTTGATTGCATTCTGAATTATACACGGCTTGTTTGGACACACCCATTCTCGAAAGAACTCGAGGGGGGATGGAAGGCTATCAAGGTAGGGCACAGACTCTGTAAAACATAACTCTATCCAGGAAAAAGACAAAAGAGTGGTAGAAAATAATTTTGCAACCATTTAAGCAATTTACAAATTTTGCTAAAAATAATTATGTGAAATAATTCTTTCCTAGAGATATCCTATTGCACTGCTCCATTTGCGTGATCATTGTGATGTCACCATCAGTGGCACATTGGCATTTATTAAAGAGCTTCTTTTTCAATATAGGGCACAAGTGACTTGAGATGGAGTCACTGACACAACATTGAAAAGGCAACTCTTCAATTTGCAGCAATCTGCAGCTGGTGATGACATCACTACTGTTGTGCAAGCTGGGCAATGCAGTACAGTATATATTATTTTAAAAGGAAATATTATTTTAATATGTACATGGCATGTTTTTAATACAGTATTTTATTATTTATTTAAAATACTTCTATCCCATCTTTCTCCCCAAAACAACCCAAGGTGCCTTAGATCATTAAAACAGAATTTAAAAGCTGGAAACAGTAAGTATACAAATATTTTTTTAAAAAATACAATATATTAAAATGGTAATTAAGATCAATTTTAAAACAGAGCACAACAATCCATTTAAACCCTCTCTAAGACCACCAGTCATTAAAGAAAAGCTTGCCTGAAGAGAAAGGTGTTTACCTGCCTGCAGAAGGACAGTTAACACTGTGTACACTGTGTAACCCTTGCTAGGTGTACAATAGCTATGATTGTAAATTATGGTAATATATCTACCTATTTTTGTGCCCACTCTCAGAAAAATTCCTAGGGTTGCCTTTGTGTGAAGAACTTTTCTGAGCAGAAATTTCAGACATTTTTGGGAGAATATACATAGATCTGTATGTATCCGTCCATCATATTTCATTATAAAGATATGCTGTTGGCAACTTAGCTCCAGGTAAGGGTATTACACCAATTCAGGCAGAATAAAACTACTGATGTCTAAAATGATGGACATATATCTTTACAGCATGTTGGCAGCATCTCTTTAAATACCAGTCATTGGAGAAAAATGGTCAGGGAAGACTACTCTCCAGGTGCCCTTTTTGTGAGATTTCTTTGCAGCTGCCCTCTGTGGGGAACAGGATACAAGCTGAGAGAGGTTTCTAGTCTGAATTGGCGGGATTGTTCTCCAGCAGCTGATTTTATCAGAGGGTCACTACTGGAAATAGGACTTTTCAAGAAAACTTCACTACAGCACCCGGTTGGGCTTCATCCGTTGCCATGTCCATGGGCTCAGCAACTACCCATGGCAGGCATCGCCTATGTAAATACATTTATATCAGCTGCTAGAGAACGTGCACATCTGCTTAAAATCTCAGCATCTCTAACTCTTTTTGAAAATTCCGGCACCCACCATTTTGAAATTTCACCACGGATACAGTATTCATACATTGAGAGATACGACACACAGTCTTTGCCAAAGGGAATACGAGAAGAAGCGCAAGCCACCGCTCCTCTCGGACCGCTTTCCCAAGGAGACCCCTTCCCTGCAGTATGCGCAGCTTGCTTTAAACAAGCCTCCCCTCGAAAAGCTCTCTCTTTTTAATTCCCGCCGCTCACCCCTCGCCTCGGCCGGAAAGCCCGCCAGGCAGCGCCTCACTTCCCGCAGCGCTTCCTCTTCCGCGCCGGTTTCGGCCATAGAGCGGCTGTGTCTATGGTGGTTGCTGGGGAAAAAAAAGGCCCGAGTTTCCATCTCCCGTGCCCTCACTTCCTCCCCGCGACAAGCCGCCGCCGCTGTTCGGGGAGAGCTTCACCGTTCGCCCCGCCCGCAGGTTGGCCGAGCTGCGTAGGAAGGGCGTCCCGGGAGGGCCTCCGCCGGTGGAAGATGGGCTTCTGTCCTAGGCGGCGGCAGCTCCACCTTGACTGCCAAGGGCTTAGCGCTTCCCGCAAAACAAGCCATGTATAATTCAAAATGGCTTTTAAATATTTGTACAGTATCCTTATTTTTAGCTGTAAATATTGTCTTTTAATAATGTAAGCCGCCTTGGGTCCTTTTTAAGTAGAAAGGCAGGCTAGAAATATTTTAAATAAAATAAATTTAAATAAATTTTGGTTTGCTTAAAAGGCTCGAATTTTGCCCTGGGTTGGCTTTCCTCTTCAGTAACTTCAACAGCAAAACCCAAACTGAAAAGCAACCTGTTATAATATGAAAACGTGTTTTTGATCCATACAGGCAGCTGGAAAAAAGTGTATTTGGCATTTTCTGAATGCCTCTGAGACACTGCTAAGCCAGAAGACCCTGGAAGATAAGACTCTTAGGTTGGAAGTTACTCCATCAGCTACCACGAAAGAGCAAAGGAAAAATACAGGTGGCATCATTCTTCATGAAGCAACTCGATAAAAGCTGAAAGGATGTTCAGTTGCTGTTGTGTGCAAATGTATGTGAAAGGAAAGTCTGAAGTTGAAAGATTACATAATTGGACCTTGAAATGTGAAAGCTATGAATCAAGATAAACTCAAAATTGTAAAATTGGAATGGATTGTACAGTATAAGCACATGTGGTATGAGTTAACTAAAGTGGAATGGAATAGGACATTTTAAATTATATAACTACAAGGAGTTTTAATCTAGAAAGGATCAAAAAAAAATCCCACAGAGACTAATAGTGAAGCACAATGTAACACAGGTACTTAGGTGCTGTGTTGTTTTGCTTTTGTTAAAACCGCTGAAGCAAGACTAAAACAGTTAACCATTTGAAAAATTTGGAGGACTGTGGTAGTCTGCCTTGGTTTAAAAGATGGACACACAGATGACATCGCAGAGTGATGCCTACTACCTGAGATCCTTGGAAGCAAAAAATATTTAAAATAATGCAATAAATGAAATTAAGCAGTTCTACAATGCCTTTAGGCTGCAGCTCTATAGCAGCTTCAAAGCCCACCCTGTTGTCCCTTGCCTTTAATAGTATTTGAGATCCTTTCAGTTGTCTCTTTTGTCTTTAACCCTTTGGATATTCATTACACAATTTACCTATTAGTTCAGTTGCTGTTTTACATTACTTTCTGCTTTAATTCTAAGAAAAAAGATTTTAAAGCATTCATTGAGATTATATACAAAGGGAGAAAGAGATCTAAAAGTTGGGCATAGCTAAGAACGAAACAGTTCAGTTTAACAGAAACTTTGGAAGACTTCAATGCTGAAATATTTCCATTTGCCATCATTACCTAGACTTTGGAAGACTTCAATGCTGAAATATTTCCATTTGCCATCATTACCTACTTACCACAAGAGAAGGAGGACCACAAAAGAAATTCCTAATAGAACAGCTGCTTCTCCTGCTGCTGCTAGTCTTGTTATCTACTGCAGCAGCATATACTAGGATATAAATAAACCTTTCAGATCTGTAAACCTTTTCTACTCTTGTCCCTTTTTGGTATTTTGGGGTCATTGCTCCAGCAATGACCCCAAAGAAAGTATGAACAGTCTCAGTTCACACATTTTTCCTACCTGTTGATCCTTTCTTACAGGCTACCAGGCAATTTTGACCTGTTTATTGTTTAACAAGGTCATTGTAAGCCAGCTGATACTAATACCTAATGACTTTATAACTTCTTGCTTTGAGATGAGATAACAGAATCAATGCAACTAGTTGGAACTACAGTATATAGTTGTACAATTTCCTTTGAGCCAAACAAATGTATATTTTGTAGTAAGGGACTCCCAAAATGTCTTGCCTTTCATGGGAATGTTGTGTAACTCAATTGTTCAAAATCACTTAGGACAGAAGCAGACATGGCAGACAACCCTTCCTTAGAAGAAGGAAATTCTTAAGAACTGAAGTTTATCTAATCTCCTTGAGTTTGCAACTTATCTTGCTTTGTTTAGAGAATAGTCTTCAGAACTTAAGTATGAGATTCCTTTGAAGTCTGATTTCTTAAACACAAACGTCTGTCCGAATCACTTCTCTCCAAAACTAATGAATTTTCAACTCTAATGATGGGTTACTTACGTATTATGTCTGCTTCTGCCACCATCCACCCATTACTGTGCTATTATGCTGGTATGAAATTTTCTGGGCAGATTCACACTAACATGATGGCTTGATGTGAAATTTATATGGTTTTCTAATGAAAGTTGTATCCAGGGTGGCTGTTCTGTGATGGTTAATTCAAATGTTCAGATCAATACTTGAAGTCACATCCATTAATGGTGAACAGATAGCCCTCTCCACTCCATTTCCCATCTAGCATATGCAATTCAAATATTTTGCAAACATTTTGAAACTAGCCAGTGCCTCAGCAAGACAGTAGCATGAATAAAATTGTAACAAAGAATCACACTTTTTATTGAAACTATTTAAGACCCAGAGTACAAATGAATACAGAATTAAAAACAGCCCCAGCAAGGTGGCTCACAGTGCAAAAACCCCACAAACATAAAACAATTGTTTCAAATAATTAAAAAGTTTTTTCCAAAAAGGTTCTCTTTTTTTAATTTCTTAAAGCCAAGGTAGAAAACACACGTTTATAAATGAACAAAGTTTCAGGTTTGCTACCTCCTTTTAAACAAGTGGAGAACAGGAAGGTGTGTTGAAATAACACAGATTTTAAAAGGATGTGACATGCTTGAGTAGACATGGCTTATTCCTAAAGTTGCTTGTCCATGCATCACTGTGATTTAGCTCCAGACAGCCTACAGCTAGAATGTTAGGTATAAACAGTACAGGATTTTGAATATACTAGTTGTAATCTGCAGAAAGATTTTTTTATCTGAGGAAACAAGTGAGGAATGGGAGGGTTTGTTGAAACAACCCAGTACCTGAAGGGCCACATGGCAGGTATTCTCCCTTCAAAAATGAGTGTTAGTACCAGATACTAGGAAATCCAGCTGCTGAATCTGGGTTTCTCTGAGTGACAAGATTGCTCTAAGATTAAAATTTTCTTTAGGAAGAAATATATTTATTTGGGAGAAGTGAATGGGCCTTACTGTTAGAAGAATATTTAGAAGAAAACAAAAGGGTTAAAGGAGCCAGAGATAGGGAGTAAAGAGCAAAATGTCCACATCCAGTAGCACCAGTTACATATACTGCTGGTTGGCATTAACACAGCTTTGTTTCCAAAGCAATAAAGATATGTTTCTGTAGAAAAATGGACAGCCCGTTCAAGTGTGCAGGTATTTTCTTTTTTAAAGGATCCCCTTTAAGAGAAAAAGCAGGATATTCTAAGAATGAAATTTAAACCACACTGCTCAGAAAACAAAGAGTTGACATGAAATTTGTATTCTGTGATGGTTCCATATTTTTATACTGACTTTTCTGAGCTGTCTTAATATAGTAAAATTGCATGCACACATTTTAAAAACTAAACAGAAGTGGGCCAGATTCAATTACTACATACAGTTATATTTCTCTGTCTTGCAGATGTTGAGATTTTCCTAAAAGGGGACATCTATAATGAAGACAATAAATAGGCATGCAATTCAAAACAAAGAGTATAGTAGCGAACATTTGATTATAGTCTTACAAAAATATTTCTTACAATGCGCCGAATTCAATATTTGAGCCATTTGCTATAAGTAGCAGCAGAGTGCCTTCCATGATAAATCATTTTTTATACTGAAGTATTTTTGATAAATAAAATGTACTCTTTTATCTTGCATCCTCTCAGCCATGGCTTCTAATGGTACAAACCTGGGGGAAGCTAGGAATCTCAGTGGAAATTAACCAGCTTGGGTAAACTGACTGGCCTTTGATATTCGTACATCCTCAGAGTCTTAACCATGGATACAAGTGGGAAAATAAAGGATAACACCAATATATCTTTTCATCTTTTAATTTACACATTCGTTCTGAGTTCTGCTTGCTTGTACTGCCTCTCTCCTATTTTAGAACCATTCCATCAGTATTTTGCCTTTCGAGCTCACCACATTCCTTGCCCTACTACTACATTTCTAGAAGTCTTGCTTATACTCTTTAATGCAATGCTAGAAACTATAGGCCCATCCATACCTCTTTACACATCTACTTACTCAAGACCACATAAAACTACTATTCTAGTTCACCCTCAGACTCCATGGATTATTTTCCCACTTGGATCCATGAAAGTGTACTCAATTTCAAAATTATTTTTTTTCCTGCTGGAAACCTCGGTTTGACACTAATGTGCAATTTATTTGATATTGCCTTTCATCCACGACAGTATCAGATAAATCATTACCAAGTGACTGCTGAAGTATCAATAGCATTAAGGTACAGTCTTCCAACATTTTGCTTCTGATCCCACACCAGTACACAGAGGGACTTCAGATTATCTGAAGAACCTCCAGATCTCCCTTTTTCACACAATGGGCATACCCATGTTGGAAATATGGTTCATTACCTGAATGTTTGTGTGTATCAGAATAATAAAGTTTCCTGAGCACGAAAGTATTTCACAGTATAAATGTGAACAGGGAAAGGAAGGTGTTTTGCCTACTAAGCCTTTTTTCTGACATTTACATGAAAAGGAGATCCATCCTGCTTTTTGATTAACTTATGTGCAAGAATTGTGGGGATTACTCCAGCTGACAATTCCTGGCAATCAGATTCCTCTGCCACAGGTGCCAGCTGTGACCTTGACCTACTCCATGCTCACCTGCAGATGGAAAACACTAGGAAATCTCAATTCTGGTGAGTGCATCTTAGCTACCATTCAAGTCTGTTCAGAGAAATAATGTGACCAAGACAGAGCCAGAAGTATCTGGGAGAAACATGCTGAAAATGACTAAAAACATCCCAAGTCCCCAGCCTTGGAACTCAATTAAAGATGGTGGGCTGGCCAGCCAGCCAAGACGAAGTCTGCTTTGCAGGCCCCTCGGCACTGAAGCACCACAAAATGAGAGCCAGATAAGAAGGTGTGCACTGCAGTTTGCCAGGCCTGTGAGGCAGTGAAGCACAAAACTACCATGATAATTTCAAAAGTACAAGACGGGTGGGGCGGATAGGGGACATATTCAGAAAGCACTATATCAATAATGCCAGACATCCACACTGATAACAACATATGTACCTGCTCTCTGACCAGAGGGAGTAGCACTAAAAAGTTAGTAAAAACATTTTTAAATGGTTTTACTCAGTATCAGCCAATACTTTGGGAACAATATAATGCTAATAATTCATTGCATAAGGAATTGTGCTGTGTTTGCGACATTAAAAAAAAATACACAGAGGGAAAGAGATAAAAACACGACATAATAAATTAAAAAATATTCACATCTTCCTTCCAGGAAGGGAATTTTCTTTTCTTTTCTTTTCTTTTTTTGATTAACTGAAAAAGATCCATTCTTTTGTACTTTATTTGAAAAACAACAGCACCAATTGATAGAGAAATTGGAGCAGTTGGACAAAGTGTGGTTGTCACTGAACACTATTACATACAAAATTCCCACCCCACTGACATTAAAAAAAAAAATCCTTCCAAAAGATTTGTTATGGAAAAAAGGAACAGAGATGGTTACATCACAACAGTCTGCATTTGCTGGCCTCTCACACTTAATTTTCTGGTTTTAGCCATAGAGACAAGCCAAAGGAATCACCCTCTTGGGATATTAGATACATCTTATGATTTTTGCAAAGAGAATTTAATAACACAAGACTGTCCTCGATAATTGTTTAAATTCATATTACAGTGGATTCAAAGCTATAAATAAAATCTGGAACTATCCTGTATGGTATATATGCTCACCCTGTTCCTCAAGTTCTACATTCCCAAAGTCAGAATCTTCCTAAGACCCAGAGCAGAGCCCAGTATGCATCTACATTTGAACAACACTAATAAGAGCTTCGTAACAAATGTGGACAATTCTTCTTTTTCTTCTTTTTAAACCTTTGGGATCCAACAGGAAGCCAGGTGCTTATGTTGATTAGAAATACTCCTTAGAGTTTATATAAAACCTGAAAAAATGCTGAAAACTTCTTCTCAAAAAGCCAATCCATTTGCCAATAACCATGTAACAGATCTCCAGAGCTTGATCCAAAGGATTCACTGTCCTGTAGAAGTAGTCAATATGGATAAAGCATGGCTCTTCTTTAAAATAAAAAGCAAAGCTGAGAGAACAAGACTTTGTAAATACATAAAAACAAAAATACCCTATACATTGTAAATCCAGGTATAAGGGAACAGATTTCATCAAGGCAGTGTTCACTGGAAAGTAGTTGAATCATCTTACCTCCTCATCTACTAGTACTAGTAACAAAATTAGTCTTACTAGACATTGTAGGAAAGATGCAGAAATAGTTATGGCTACGAAGTGCCCACAAAAGGTTTTAGAGCAACACTCACAAAAATAAATTAATAAATAAAAGATTTAATAGTCTGCATAAACAGAAAGAGTGCTGCAGGGGAATGATTGGGGTCATCTTGATCTCTTTCTGTCATGTCAGCAGCTACAGGTTGGGCCACAACTGGAGTGCTTTCTGGTTGTTGTTGTTTTGGGGGCAGGGACTAAATATTTTGTCTATGAGAAATAGTTTTCAAAGAGGTTTGCGTAGCACTCAAAAGAGAAACAGTGGGGCTCAGAAAAATTAGTACTGTGACCAGCACATTTAAAAAAAAAAAAAAAAAGACAAAATAACTGTTTGTTGCTTAAAAAAATCCTCATAAAAACAAATAATAGCATTCATTCAAGGCTTCTGCCATGAACCTGACCCATGAAATGGATTTGTGTGGTGACTAGTGTTCTATCATAAGCTTATGTTGATTAGAAATACTCCTTAGAGTTTTTTATCCATACGTCGCTCAACAGCTTGTAGCAACAGCTCCGAGTACTGTTCCAACAAAGCAAGAGTTTGCTCATTTCCAAAATGGCGTGGACTGGGTAAAGCAGAACCACCTCCCTCAGCCAGTGGCATTATAACTGTCTCTGGTGGCTCCCCCAATGCTTCTTTCTCTCTTTGCATCTGTTTCTCATCCTTCAGGGAATCCAGCTCCTTTTTCATCACAGAGAAGGTATCCATCAGGAGGCCAGCAATTTCATGTTTGTCAGCTGAAGACTCCGTATCAGCAGAGACCTAGAAAATAATCAAGGGGTGGTGGTGGAGAAGAGCAGTTAGGCCTTCCCAAGGGCATCAGTCTGGCATGTCTTGAAGGCAATGGGTTTGTTACAAAGAGGATATGCACACTATAGAGTTATTAAGAGTTTGATACCACTTCAGCTCTTGTACCACTGGCTCATCCCAGAGTCATTAGTCTGGCGGAATATTTATAATTTTCTGTTTCAAGTTCTACTCCACTCTCTTGAACTACAGCACTACAGTTCTCTAGCAGGGAATTCTGATCATGTACAGGAATCCTTTTGTGTCTGGCAACACCTTTTTAAAAACACTGTTCCAGTCATTTAATGCTCACTCTTGTACTGACTTGATTCTTGAAAAACAGTCCACACAAATGCATCTCGTTACACCTCTCAATGGGATTTCAGCTCAGATTTTGGCAGTCACTAAACTACATGTTAGTTTAACTGAACTACAAATACATAGCATGCAACTGCTGCTCTACTGTTTCTTTATCTGAAAATAAGAGTAGCTTACATATCTCCCTGATGTCTCCCTCCCCACATGTGGGAGCTTTAAAAAAAAACTCTTCCAGTGTCAAATGCTTTCCCTCACCTTTTAAAACTCTCCTTCCCTCGTGAGTACAGGGAAAATATCTGGAGGAAGAAAGATTTAAACCATCCTTCCTTGCACATGACGGTCCCAGCCTCAGCCCAGCCCCTGTGCCCTTACTTGTGGAGAGAGAAATACTTGCATATGTAATGTAACATTAACCTGGCCCCGTATATGTTGTTAATCAGGTCCTACTTTTAGGGTACAATGGTACACTGAACAAAAGGCATGTGGACATGTGAATGGGATTGGTCTACAGATATATGGCCTCTGGAATGGACTACTGGCTTGCAGAATGACCTGCCCATGGAATGGCATCTAATACTTAAATCCAGATTCTTCTGCTTTACACTTTTCATTTCATCATTACATTGCATTGTGTTAGACATTCATTGCTTTTCCTTTGATTTCTTTTACATTGTGCTTGAATTTAATGGATCTTATTCCCTGTGTACCTGTTGTAATTTAAATAAATCTTCAAATTAATTGCACTTGTAAATAGCCTCAGATCATGTCTGGTTACACCATTCACTCACTGGGGCAAATAAAATACCTCGTTTTCATTTATAAGAAGAGTAAATTCTATACTAGATTACAGCCTGTAGCTATTGAATAGCAACAGGATGGTTACTGCAGTTACATCTGTAGACACAGATCAAAATAGGCACAGATGTATACTTCTGAATGAGTATTTAGAGGACTTGTTGCTGACTTCCCTAATATAGTCAATCATATAGTGTATAAGTATCATATGTTAACTGACAACCTGGAATAAAGGGGTAACTTACCAGATGGTATAGATGAATAGCTTTGCGCATACTGTCTTGAAGCTCAGATACAACGTGCTTGCACTGCTCAACACTGACAGGAGAGTCTCCTGTAAGAGATAGGGAACAAGACAACACAGGTCCTAAGCCATGGACCTAAATATCATTCCATCCTTGCCCACTGTCTCGCTAGGAGACAAACGTCCTGAAAATGTAGCCATTACATGAAAAATTGTAAATAACAATGCAGAAATGTATGTGGTTTTTCTCTCTCCTCCCCACTGCCACCAAAGTGATTCTGGACTCTTTCAGCATGTGGATCAATTTGTTGCATATTCACAATTTTTTTATTTTGGCTTTCTCATTTCCAGCCCTTGCTAAGCACGTCTAAAACAAAGATGATCCATTCCAGATAATGCAGTGGCTCTAAAATTAAGCTTGTATAAGTTCCTATGGATAAGTACTTATGGATAAGACCTATAATACTGTACTAATTCTGAAATGATGAACTATCTTTTTCTGGTGAGAAATAGAATATTCAAATAGCTATTCAGCCTCTCTGACCACACC